TAATATACATTATATATATATATAAAAAAACCCCCAAACCCTAATATAAAGTCTGAATATGCACTGCTTTAACACACACTAAACCTATAAGCAAATAGCTAGATACCAATGCAAACACAAACTCAAAACCAAGGATAAATTCATTCACGTACAGTGAATAATATGACTTATAGATAGTGCAGCTACTTTGATGACTATAAGTCAACTATGGAAGAGCACACTTGCTGAGATATTGAGATTTAAAGTAACTAAAGGCACACATGCCTTAAAATGGTGGTATTGTATAAGCATGGACCACAATAGTGCTGGAAAAAAGTCTTCCCTTCACTGGTGAAGTACGCAAGGAAATCATACTGTGTCACTGATGCTCTGTAGGGGAATTAGGGGAAGCTGCTCTGTAGGGGAAATAAAGACAGCTGCTCCATTCTAAAATTAAAAATAAGCATGTAGACATTCATTTAGTTGTATTAGCAATGTTAATTCAAAAATGCTGTCTTAAAGAAACTTCAGTGCTTGCCAAACTCTGGAAAACAAAGCCATTATGTTAGCATTTGTTCCATCATCAGATGCAGGCATCTCTAAGGCAAGATATCAGTCTGCTTAGCATAACACAGAACAGTAATGCCAGATCAAAAAAAAAATTGACTTGTAGGACAGAAAATAAATACTAATGTTATTCTAAGTAAAAAAAATAATCACATATGTCAATGTTAGTCTGATTCCTCATACAGTGTTTAACAATCGGAAATCTAGAAAGCAGAAACTTTCAGCAATGACTGCGCTCGATATCTCACCAGGATGCCCAGTTCAAAGCAGATTCAGAAGAAACTCAATTTTTATTGGCAGTCTTCTGTATGAGAACTGATTAAGCCAAAGTTTCCTAAAAATAGAGCTGTAAGTAATAAATCTACAACTAAATCCATAAGAACTGCATATCCCTATAAACTGCTGGTTTTATGACTAGATAATAGCGTTTAATAGAGCAGCACACAATGACATCATCATGCTAGAGCAAATATTCATGAACATTCAAAAGAAAACACCAAAAAGGGAATAAATTTGAAACAAGATTTTCTCTCTTTCAAAGAGGAGATATGTAATGGAAAAAAAAAAGTAGTTATTTCAGATTTTTAAGATAGAGCTTGTCAAACTAAATTACTTTTAAAAAAAGTTTCCTTTTTTAAATAATCAAGACTGCAAGAGCCTTGATCTCTAGCATTCCACTCACAATACTGCCAACTTTCCTATTAAACACTTCATAGATGATACTAAAGAAAACTACCAAACAGCATTTCTGAAAGTTTAGCTTGAAATAAGCTTAGTATTTTTCCACAGCTTAGAAAGATAGAATGAAATCTTTGTCTTCAGAAATAAAAGCTCAGTCAGAGTGGAAAAAACCCCACTATTGTTCATATATTCTTTATCTAGAAATGCAATGGTAAATTCAGAATTTAAGTTCCTCATACTTCTTACCTTATCGCTTTTTTTCCCAGATTTCTTCTTTTTAGGATTATCCTTCCAAAGAGATTCTACAGCAATATATCCCTGAAGACTCCAGTCATACAGCTGTGTACCAGCAACCTTTGAAACAGAAGATATTAGGAAGCATGAATTTAATAATCTGGGAAATATTATTTTGCTTCTTTTTTAAGTGGAATAGGTCTCAAAACACAAGATCTTCGACATCTTCCTGTTCAAGCTCAGGGTATAAAGCATTAATATACGTCTTGGGAAAAACAAATATACATAAGCAGTAAGAAAAGCCAACTTGCTCAAAAACTGTTTGAAGACCACCTGAACACATATCTGTATAAAAAGGGGTGGAATGATGCTGCATGGAAATAATTCTGGTTTTCTTAGTATTCGACACTCAACAGGTTTAACATAAGCAAATCATTTCTTAATTTGACCATTTTAAAGGAAAAAAAAATCCCCTACTTAGTTTGTCACTATTTTGCAGTTTTACATTTTCACTGCTTTGACAGAACAGTACCCCTTTGTTTCTTTTTATTTGCTATTTAGAAGAAAGCCCTAATTTCCCAACAGATAGCTGCAATGAATAACCAGTTGTCAACTGTCAACACAGAAGACAGCTAGGAAAGACGTTGTTTGATATATTACACCAACAGGTAATTTTATGATAGGAAAAATCCCTCAGTCTAATAAAAGAGTATCTCCTCCTCCTTACATGATATGGAACCGTAATATTCATAGCATCCTTTAAAACTCAAGAGTGTTAGGTTTTTACAGCTCCAGGCTCAGGTCAGTACTCACCGTCACATCACTACCAATTTTCTTACAAATAAAGAATGGCAAAAATGGACAATTTGCCCAACCAGACAGCTATTAAACTAAAAAAACTTATGAAATCGAGAAGTAAGAAGGTATCGCCGTATCTCCCACAGCAGGCAAAGCTGGAAAACTAAACCTACGAGAAGAGGGCAAGCATAAAGGATGTTTCTGAAACAGTTTCTGAATGAATTTCAGTTTCTTCCAGTTTCCAACAATTTGCCGCTCAGAGATTTCCTGAGCTAGAGGTGGTTACTACATGTATAACAATGCCGAAGGAATATCCCTCCTAGGAACTTGCTGCACCTCCCCTTGAACCCCGTGCAGATTTTTAACATCCTGCGCCAAGGAGCTCTATTGCTGGGCACACACGGTGCGAAGAACCACTTCCCTTTGTTTGCCTGAACAAAATTAACTATACCGGTTATGGGCCAAGGGATCTGCTTCTGGGCAGACATCATGTTACTACCTTACAGAAGTTATTTAATAATTAGAACTAAAAGAAAACAAACCCAAATCAGCAACCACATTTCCGAATCATAACTAAATCCAAAACATAGGCTGTTTTAAATACAAAGAGCTAGCATGTTTGTCACCACATTTGACAATTACAGTTGTACTTCGGTTTTAAACAAGTCTGTATGCTGCACTGAGTTTTCTCTATATTTGAAGGTGATAAAGGTCATCAGAAAAAAGCACACCAACTGTTGCAGGGATGAATATCTTAAATCTCCCAAATCCTTCAATTCAAACGTTACAGGTATAGACAGTTACCTTCTTTTTCAGTATCAGGAGTGTTCATTCTCAAGTACTTCAACAAACTAGTTCTGAAAGTCAGAGGAGCCTATGGCTCATCTGGTAAGATATTGTGATCAGTTGTGCAAGCAGTACAAACCTACCAGGACTGAAAAAGAACCACAATAAACAAACAGAGGGCGTTTTGTTTGTGATGTTACTGAGGACACAGCTATCAACATAAACTGAGAAACAACAACTATCCATAAGCCATTTTTTGTTCCTGCTTAAAAATACTCCATTAAAATACTTAAAAACACTCTAAATACCCAACAGTACAAATTTAAAAATATTCTTATTATAGGAGTTATATGATCAAGGGAATTAGGAATTGCACTAACTGATAAACTGGTCATTCATGTTGCTGCAGTAAAGTAGCTACATCACAAGGTAGGTTAGTCCACCACAGTCAACCTATGTTTCAACACCGTACACACCTCCCAAGAGCTGGGACCCACGCACACGTTCACAGTTCGCATGGGTTGAAAAACAGAGTTCTATATAGACTGCAAGCTACAAGTTATTTTTATAACCACCCAGCGCATCCTCTCATGGACACAGCACTGGAGTCATGTGTTAGGCTTGTGGTTTATACCTTTTTCTCTCATGCAGCAGCTGAAGAGGAAGCAGGTGGGTACTGCAGTTGCCACCACTGTCCTTGGGAGTGGCAGTTCCAACCAGGAAAAGTAAAAGGAACAATAATAATACAAACAGTTTGTTCAATTGTTCAAAGTGTTCATTCCAACATTCATACAAAGAGTTCCTTTCAAAAGAGGGGCAAGTTTTTCCATTCGTTCATCTGGAATTCTTAATTCCTGGAAGATAACAATTTCCAGCTTGTTTGTGTTAAATTACAACATGCTAAAATACCATCTCTGTTCAATGCAACACTAAGTTTGTACACTAAAATTTGAACAATCAAGTTCAAAAGTCAGATCGAGTGGTTCTCAACAGGGACTCTGAAATAGTTCGAAAAGTGACCTTGGGCCACAAACACCCGTACTAGGCACTACTGGGACAGCATCAGCAGCCTCCAAGGCCTGATGGACATGTAAACAAGCTCCCATATTTTAATTCCACACAGGACCAGAAGCATACAATATTGACTATGCCATATGTTATAGGTCAAGATTATCGAGCAGAATTATGGTTAGCCATTTTTTTACCTACATCGCACATTGTGAAACTTAACTGCTGGCTTTTCTACATTTATATTGTTAACAAAAGTAGCCACAGCGCAATTTCACAAGCATTTCATTCTACAGCAAACATGGATCAAGTGACCCAAACTCCTTCTTTTCAACCCACAGCTCCTGTAATCATGTCATGCTTTCAGTTGCGCCAGTACAACTGTTTGTGCCTTATGGACTGAACTGGGCAAGGGAGGAGGTATAGCTTCAAAAGACATAGAAATAATTTAGTTTGTTGTCAAAGAAAGGAACTTACGTATGAGGAAGCTTTTTTTCTTTCAAGAAGGTGGTAAGCATAACACATTTCAGGAAATTTGAAAAGTTCTAATAACAAGGAACAAAAATTAGTTCTAATGATAAGGAGACTGATTTAAATAACTTCATAATGGAAAGTTTTTTCTGGATGGAAGATAAGTCACAGTAAATACAAAATATTTTGAATGTATTATGACTAGCTGGAAAGCAATACAGTTCCAAAACACTAGTTAAAGTTCCACCAGAACAAAATAAACTTTAGTATTAAATTCAGTTCCCTCACCACATACGCAGCCTAACCATTTGTTCAAAATTATACCAATTAAAGTAATGCTAGCAGTGAGGAAATAAATCCCTTACAAATTTTGTGATTTGTTAGAACGATGACAAAAGCAGGAAAAAAAATAATTAGTCTGTGCATTTCTTTCATCACCAGTTAGATGAAGTGTCTGAAAACTACCTATTACCAATGATGAACTCTATTGCTATAACTTCACTTAGCAACTCATTAATTTTAATTAAAGAAGAAAGTTTTCTTCCAGACAGATGCATCAAGTGTTGCACCTCAACTGCATATATATTTTGCTGTGTTTATTTCCAACTGTCAAATGGATATGGATTGAGAGCAGCCCTGAAGAGAAGGACTTGGGTGTGTTGGTGGACAAGCAGCTCAACATGAGCCGGCAATGTACACTTGCAGCCCAGAAAGCCAACCGTGTCCTGGGCTGCATTGAAAGCAGTGTGACCAGCAGGTCGAGGGAGGTGATCCTGCCCCTTCTGCTCTTGTAAGACCCCACCTGGAGTTCTGCATCCAGCTCTGGGGGCCCCAGTACAAGAAAAACATGGAGCTGTTGGATAGAGTCCAGAGGAGGGTCATGAAGATGATCAGAGGGCTGGAGCACCTCTCCTGTGAGGACAGGCTGAGAGAGTTGGGGTTGTTCAGCCTGGAGAAGAGAAGGCTCCAGGAAGACCTGAGAGAAGCCTGCCAGTACCTGAAGAGGGCCTACAGGAAAGCTGGAAAAGGACTGTAGTGATAGGAAAAGGGGTAACGGCTTTAAACTGAAAGAGGGTAGATTTATATTAGATATAAGGAAGAAATTCTTCGCTGTGAGGGTGGTGAGGCACTGGAACGGGTTGCCCAGAGAGGTTGTGGAGGCCCCATCCCTGGAAGTGTTCAAGGCCAGGTTGGATGGGGCTTTGGGCAACCTGGTCTAGTGGAGGGTGTCCCTGCCCATGGCAGGGGGGTTGGAACTAGATGATCTTTAAGGTCCCTTCCAACCCAAACCATTCTATCTTTTATCTAATGAAAAATCTTTAACAAAAGTGGGAAGGGGAAAAAAATAAACAATCAAAAGAACAAACTGCAAACACCACCCAAAACTTTTTTAGTCTTTTAAAGTATGGTCAAATCTGAAAGTTTACCGAATGAAGGGAACTATACCACTGTAAATGAAAAAGCAGTGATGAAGTACTCAAATATGGAAGAAAAATAAAAACAACATAACATAAAGAATAAACAAAAAATCAAAATTTATGTTCCAGAATATTTCCTATACAGTTCTATTAACTTAACAAATGAGCTTTGTACTGCCAGCATCCCTGTCTAGGCTTACAGAATTTTTTTGAAAGGCCTATGCAACATTTCAAATTAATTACTAGACAGGGAACTGCTTCCAATTTCAGATTAAAGCATAAAAATTATGGATAGTAAGATCTAATATGCTTAAAACTTTGCTTTTTTTAAAAAAGCGCAAGACAGATTAGAGGAACCAAAGCAGTATCTAGGATATCACTCTCTCCACAGAATTTTCCAAACTCATACGTCTAGTGTCCTGACCAAGTCAACAAAGCTATTCCAATCAAGTTTCAGGCTCATGGCCTCATATCAGATTTTTCGTTACAGTCAAACTAAGAACTGTGAATTAATCAAAGGGCAATCACGCACTTCAAAGTTTTTGTAAAATAAACAAGGTATTGTGAAGCTGTTAGTAGCAAATCCATAGTTAAGACTGAACTGAGCTTCTTTAAAAACAATAACATCAGCTTGAACGCCATTCAATCACTTCCCACTTCACTGTTCCAAAGGCAACTAGAATTTCAATACAGTTTCCAACAGAAATGTCTACGCTTCTTAAATTTTGATTTTTTTTTTTTTCCTGCCACTTGCATAATTTTCACTCCCTGAGAATAAGTCAACAGAACTATCTGCATTTAGAGCATCTGAATTCTGGAAGCAGTAAAAAAAAGATTCCATCAAAGATCGGGTTATCACCATGCTGGCAGAGTTCAAACACAGTGGTTTTGACTCTCCTTAAGTCAATGACCTTTCAGTTTTCAAAGAACATCATATGTTGTTGAGAATACCATATTTTCATCCTGACATCTCAGTGTCATTCACCAATAACTAGATAGCAAATTTACCAAAGCTTGAAATATAAATAATTTCTGACACACTGAAATACGTGCACTGCGAGTGGTTAAAAGCTGGATTTCAAAAAAAAGAATGTGGTGGACAACTGAGGAATCTGCCAGTACAATTAAGTGTGGACAGCAAGGCACATGAATGAACATCAGTAGGGGCCGTAAGCAACTGTCTGGTCTCTTCAGTTCTTTCTTTCACAGGAAATCCACTTAAGCAACTCTAAGTTAAGTTAAACAGGTTTCTTATGTCTGAAACAACAAATGCATAAACAGGAAAGGCATCCAATAAGCAGCAGAATTCATACTGTGCATGCTATCTTTCTTAAAACTCTATCCAACAAGAAGAGGAAAACTTCAATAACAATGTTTATCTCAAAATGTTGTTCCTATGATCTCTCTACAGAATCTGCCTTTTTTTTTTCCCCTCCTTTCCTTCAAATCCTGTTTTCATTTGCTCTCAATATATTTCAGGCTTCTTTAGTATTGTAAGTAGACATGAAAACTGCACTTACTAAGCATATTTACATTAATTTATAATTACTTGAGGTTAGAGATTCAGAAAGGAAATTATGTTCCTCAAACTGAAGACACTGCTGCAGATGTTAGGAAACAAAAAAAGTCACCAAAAGAAACAACATGTTACTGCCTTTCAGCCTAGACTGCATGTTCTTTGACAAAATCTTTTAAGTGCCATGCACACTGACATGGCTTTTAAAAACGGATTACCAGTTAATTTGAAGGTAGGAGGCAATAATCAAAGTAAAAGACACTTCTCCAAAGAAAGATATCATCACTGACCTTTGCAATAGAAACTGCTTGCTGAGGGTAATACATGGAGGCACCAATACCCATGAGACCTGCGGGATACACTAACTTCTTTATTTTTGAGCCTGTTTCATAACAAGAAAAAACAAAAGAACCCAAAACATTGTTAGAGCATATGTTAACCAAAACAGCTGGCTCTATCCTTTTATTTATAATCAAAACAATTTTGTTAAATACAGTTTAGCGTATTTTCTGTTCAGTCCTACTGGTTCAAGAAATGATTACTCTGATCAGTAATTATTCTTTTAACCTTTTTAAAAGAACATTTTTATTAACATCTTTCCATAGTGAAAATTATCTTAAATTATATTTACTGTAATAATAGATAATTTATTTCAGTACTGAATAATGAAGTAAAAACCACAGCTAAGAGATATTTAAGAAAATTATACCAACCGACACTCTTTTCTAAACTAAAAGGAAAAACTCAGGCAAAGACAGGTTAGGATAGCATTCTTCTGATACATCAAGCAGAACAAAAGACATTCCAATACAAACTTTGTAAGTTACCTTGACTCACAAATATTGTTTCTTCCATGACTTCTCTTATGAATAATTTTTCTCAATTCACTATAGCAATTTGCAAAGCATTTGAAAGTACTTGTAAACTAAAGTACTTATGATTATGCCTATTGCTTAGTCCCCAACTAAATTTTGAACATTTTAATCAATTTGAACTCTCAATTCAATTATACAAGTCTAAAATAATTTAACTGCCTGAAAAGTTCATTCTCTTATCACAGCTGGCCACAGGTTGTGCATCCTAGCTGGCCAGTGACAATATGTATCACTGAATCAGTTACAGGGCTTGCTGCAGCACATCCAGTCAGAAAGGAACATATAAGGGAGCAGGCAAAGGAGAAAAGCAAGCAGTACAGGAGACAACAGGTCACAGGACAGACGTACAGGAGTCACGACACAGTAGTTCTGTTTCTCATAGAACAGCCTGTTCTATATGTGAAGCCACACATCCTTCTAATAAAGGAATAATGAATTTTGAAGAGGAAATGCAAATTAGAAATGTTTCATTTTTCCACTAACGTATGCTCATGATGAGATGAGAAATTTAGCAGTAAACAAAAGGCATTTATAAAGGGATGTTGCTAGTCTCGTGAAGAGGGAACTTGGCACCAATTAGCTGTTAGAAAGTACAGAAAAGGCAAGCTTTATTGCATCTTTATAGTCAGAAAAATTAATTTCTGGGAATGATGAAATCTTCCTTAGTGATAGCTTATCAGTGTCCCTACAATATCACTTTAGAAATAAATGTAATAGTTGAAGATATTAATGCCTTGCAGCAGGCTGCTACCTGCTGGAGATACCCATGAGAGGGAAGTTCAGGAATACTCCTGTATCCATTCCAGTACCACTCAACAAGGTTAGAACAAATTATCTACAATGGGATTTTAAACCAAGCTGGATGATTGCACAATATTCACATGATTAAACTCTGAATACCGTAGTTTCTACTTAGTGGGCAACTGTATGTTCAAGTATTATGGTTAGACCTGGAAGACTTTATCTGTACCTTCCAAGAAGGGAATGTTTCCAGTGCGAGGAAGGAAGGGATAAAAAAGAGGAAATTAGGTTCTAACTTTCTGTAGCATTAAAATTAAGAGGCACTTCCTTTTACAGTTTGAATACTTTCTGGAAATAACAGTTAGTATTGTAAACTATAACCAGACAAAAAGTTTTAAAATTATGGCTCCCATCATAAAAGATTCACAAATCAGACATTTGTATTATGAGGGATTTTTAATTTTATTAAACTTAAGACCCTCTAATCTCTCAGATCAAGCCTCAAGACTGCATTTCCCCCCCAATTTTGCTACAGTTGTAAATGCTGGAAACTGATCTCATTTATAATCACGTAACTCAAGGAGCAGGAATTTGGAGAGAAAGAACTTCAAATGGATGGAGACCTTGATTTTCTTTTTTTTTTTTTTTTTAAAGTACTGCTTTCCTCATTTTCATTGGAAAACTAAATATTTTTGAGAAGTGCATACATAAATGCATATATTACAGAATGCTTTCCATTTCTACATAGCCAAGCACACACTTCCAGTTTGTTCAACATATACAGGCCCCACAAAGGTGTATTTTTGTCCAAAGGAAATCCTCACTAGTATTTAAATTCTATAACTTTACAGTTCTGTTACCTACAAGTTTTCTTTTTGTGTTACTTTGTTTCAATGTATTAGGAATACCTCAATACAAACACAAAATACTTTTTCACAATTAGCATTTCTTAAAATAACATTTATTTCTATGAAAGCATAAACATATTCGTTTCTTCAACCAGTGTGATGAAATTAACTGTATCACATTTCTATAGCACAAAATGTGCATGTATTTATAGTACACCCAGAGTTCACAAGTACTTTTGCCGAATATCACAACCTGCAGCAGCTCTGTGCCTGGACACACAGTACTTTGAAGGAACTTGAATATACAATTGTACATGGAATCATAGCTCAGGATCCTCCGGATTTTAGCATAATTTATTGCTCTCTAGTTTTCTACAGTGACATATGTGATCAAGAATTTAAAGAATTAAAAATATTTTTAGGCTAAAAAAAGCCCCTTTCCTACTTTTGCTATAATAAGCTAGAACTGGAAAAGATCAAAGACTAGATTCCAGTAACAAATACAGCATTCATAAACAATAATTGATGGTTATTACACACCTTTTACATGGAATTTCTTTATTATTGGAGGAACACTATAGAAACATGCTTGTACAGTTACGTCAGATCTCATGCGTCACAATTAAAAATTAGTATCCAAAAAACCCCACAAATAAATTACTTATCCCAAACGATAACATAAGCAGTTCAAAAGGTTCCCACTTACCTCTAGCAAGAAACAATCCAACAATTCCAGCAAAACCTATCACACCAAGCCTTGGATAAAATCCAGCAGGGGGGTTTTGGAGAAATCCACAGCCCTCTGAAGAGAAGTCAGAACAAAGTGCTTTAATGTAATGTGAAAGTGTTTTTGTGATAAGGAATCATCAATACATGCTGGCAATTGTTACAAAACATAAAGAGTTATCAAAACACATTTAACTATCATGCACATTTTAGATCTGCTGGCATAAAATTCAAAGCCTTTGAGATCTTCTCTAGTGACACATGAATGAAACTGAACATCGTATTGTATTTACCAATTTTCATAGAAGCTTTTGCCTTTGCTCCTGGGCCATCTGTTTTGGTTTGCTCTTTTGCATCTCGATTATATCTTTTCTCAAATTAGTGACAAAAACCTTTGCAAAATGGATTCTTACATTTACATGTTAACAAGAATTAGTTTCAGTAAAACACTGTACAAAAAACAAATCACAGAACAAAGGAAAGACACAGCATAAACAAAGCTCGCTCCAAGATGGGAGTCCAATGGGGGAATGGAAAACTATAAAAAAATCTTCCATACAAAGGAATTCAAAAGACTGAGACTGTTAAGGAAAAGACACACAGTATCTGAAATGAGCTCTAGATAGCATCCATGCTCAGTCCTGATGAGCCTAAGTATAGAAGGATGCTTCCAAAACCAAAAATAAATACAAATTATTTCAGATTTATTCAGAATTCTTAGGAGATCCAAGGAAGTAAACCAAAATGAAAAGGTTGCAAACATTACAAACAAAAGCCCTAACACTTGTGACAAGTAATAAACATTGCAGGAAGTTTCAGTTCCTAGACTGAGTCAAGCAAATACTACTGACTTGGAATAAATTGTGAGGTGTTTTTTCCTTCTTTTCCTGCATAACTGTCATTTTTAGTGACATTGGCTGACATTGATGCAGGTCTTGGATTTTAACTGTTTAGAAATGTAGTGTCATAATGACCTACAAAGGAAATTTAAACAGATATACAGTGCAAATAAAGTAGTCTTAAATGCATTAGAAATTATTATATATGTAACACTTAGCAGAATTCCCTTTTAACACAAGATATTGCATGGTCCTGTATTTTAAATTTTAAATTAAAACTGATTTACCTCTACCATGCTCAACAGCTTTTTCTAATTTGGGCATAGCTTTGGCATAAAGATCCTAAAAAAAAAAAAAAAAAAAAGAAAACAACAGTAAATAGATACCAAGTAAGTAAAATATAAACTACAGATTGTGACTGACCTGACAAAGAAAAGAAAAAACCCAAAAAAGTGTTGAGTCCCTAGAAAAACTTTTTATTCCCACTTCCACCCTTCAGTTAAAGGGCTATGCTTGCTCAGCATTATGTCTGGCATAACATACAGCTTTTTCTCCAAGTAGTTTTTGGACACAGATGAAATAGAATACCTCACAACACAGAAGTTGACTTCAATACTCCACTGAGTTCCTGATCAAGTAGCTGAAACTTGGGATTATCTCAGGTTTCTCAGTGTTATGTAGGTATTGCAAAAATACTTGAGTAGATGCAAAGGAAGGGAGAAGTTTATTAATGTTGTACTCCCTAGCACTTCACAGGGGTACATGACTCATTCTGTGATGTGACAAATTCCACTTCACAAGAGATATCTTAGACTAAAAAAAGTGTAATTTTGAGGCCACTTGGAAAATGAGATGCCCATACAATGTCCAAAGTAAATCAACAGAGCACTGCATCAACCCCACAAACTAGTCCTAGACTTTTTTTCTCAGACTGAAAATACACAAGAAGTAAAAGAATTCACATTGCATTTTATCAAACTAAAACAACAATAAAAAAATCCCAATAAAAGCAACCCTGCTAATTGTTATTATGCTAATAATCCTTCAGAGACACAGTGTAAGACTGTCTATCAATTAGGGAATAAATTCAGAAACATGTATGGCCAAAGCTAAAGCAGAGAATGGGCTCACAATGCCACTTGAGCTGTAGCTGTGCAGAAGTGAAATCATTTGTTTAGGATACTGCATGGGAGATAATATCTTTAGGACTTTCATTTCCTCACTGGCAAGAGTGACTTAAAAAACTTGTCACAAAAAAAACCCCCAAAGGGTTAGCATGTGACAGAGAACACAGCTCTAAATGGGTGTTGGTCTTATTAAAAGGCAATGAAAAAAAGGACATACTCTAAAGATCCCAGAGACTACGTAAGTCTGATCTTCTGTCACAGCTCACACATAACTGGCTCATTTCTACATCTGTGTTTTGAACTGACTTTCCACTACGGTTAAGCAAGCAGTTTTGAAAAAGTAAAACAGATATATGAACATAACCAATTTTATTTTCATTATCCTGGGTTATGTTTTTAATTTGAAAGTCAACCAAGAGACACCTAAAATGTTATTTTCTTTAATGTAGCAGGGGGTGGGGGTGGTGTAAAACCAAAACTACCTCTGACTACAGTTAAGCAAGCAAGATGACCCCAAACCCACAAAGTTTACATGCCCACTTCATACAATGAGTCAGTAAACCACTGCCCGGAAATGGCTTGTTGTGTGAGCAGACGAGCACATCTTATGTAAATGATCACCACGTAGACAAAAAAATGAAGCAAATAGGAAGACAACAGGCCAGTGAGACATAAAGCACTGTTCAAGGCTTACCTGCAGTCAGTCCAACTGGGCAACTAACCTCGCCTCAAATTTCATTCTCGGTTACGGTTACGGCAGGCAACTAAACAGAACCCATGTGTGCAGGAGGTCAGAGCTCTAACTATACTGTGGAAAATCCCCCCTTGTCCTTCAAAACTGAAGTCAGTACTCCTGCTCATGGCACTTCAGAAACACATCACTAGACTGAGTAACCTTGAGTATTTCTGCAAAAATGTTTCAGTACCATTAAAGGTTAGTACCACAACACAGAAGGGAACCCTGATCTGAACATCTTGGCTTTCTATAGAGAACTGGAAGAACAGCTTGCAGCTTAAGAAAAGGACTGACAACAGCCAGAGCACATGCAGAGAATCACCTAAAGTTGCCAAGAGGCAACCAGATGACAAGGATGCTCTTGCTTCAAAAGTAAGCCTCAACATTTGCTGGGCCAAGAAAGAGCAAGAAAGACATCACATGACTCTGCAATCCAGTATCAATAATTTAGGCCTTGACTACAAAGACCTTGGTTTTCCTCTATACTCCAAAGACTATTTTTGTATGTAATGACCCTTTAGTATATATTTTATTAGGTAGCATGTTTATGAGAAAGTTTTGGGGTAAGGTCTGGGGGCCAGGTTTGCCACTACTAGTGGCTTGGGATTTTCTCTCTTCCAGAGAGCCACGTTCCTTCCCTCAGCATTCCAGTTCAACAAATACCAATTTGTTTTCATAGAATCATAGAATGGTTAGGGTTGGAAGTGACCTCAAAGATCATCTAGTTCCAACCCCCCTGCTGCAGGCAGGGACACCCTCCACTAGACGGGTGTTCTGCAAAGTTGCATTGTGTCACAGTTGCAGTGAGGACAACTCTGTATCACCGCCCCAAAACACGTTGCTTGATATTTTATGGCATTCTCCTTGAGCCTGGAGAACGAAAATTTAATCACTCTCTGTCTTCCTTCCAGATATCCCTAGATATATTTAAGCTTAAAGTTTCTTTCAGATAGCAATTCTATGCTTTAGTTAATTTTCTTTTAATTCTTTTAATTCTTTTAATTCATTAAAAATGTGAAAAAGCAAGGGTTTAGTTCTTTACAGCTCTTAACTTTTACTTTGCTGCTATCTATTAATTGTGTGTCTAAAAAACCCCACAGTTCAACCCTTACCACTGCCCCATTACCAGATGTGATATAAACCCCTTATACCTGACACCAGGCTGTGTATGGCTCCATAACATGCCGTAAACGCGAAACCCCCTCTTCCAATTGGGTTTGTGGATTCTCCACATATTTAGTCTCACGAGCTGGAGAGGTGTAGAGTGACAGCTGTGAATATTAGCAAACAAGAGGTTAAAACCAAAGATGTAATTGTGTAAGTAGGTCTTCAGGGCATGAACAGTCTCACCAGAGGACACCTAACACAGTGCTTACTACATAAACAATGTATAATAAAAATTCAGGCACAGCTGTGAGACGACCATTATGAGCAAAGTTTAAATTATATATTACAATGAACATGACTTCTAATTGCTATGCAATTCATCCATAGCTGCTATATGATCCAAGTCACAGGTTATAAATTAATATTAAACCAGTTTAATGAGAACACAAAACATAATTGTGAAAAATGTTTCTGGTCTTAATCAGCACTTCTGGTTTCCAGTTAACATACTAAATGTACTAGAACTCTGAAATCACAATCTATTTTTGATTTCATTTTCTATATTTGCACAAGCCATCATTAAAGAGTAAGTAGTTTCTAACAAAGGTAACATCCGATACAAATTTGTCTGTTTGTTACCGAGCAGGAAAATGGTACAACATCCCAGTGCTGCCATCATTACCCACATAAGCAACTGACAGCGTTAATAGCATCATGAGGCTGAGCAAATAAGAACTGTAACATCCACCTGAAAAGCAATGGGCATCTTCACATAATAAATTCTAAACCACCGTATTCAGTGTTTAGCATCACAATGTATTTATTACAATTACCTAAACATATTTAAAATTGTATTCCATTAAAAAAAAGACTGATGTCTATAATGTTGAAGAAGAACAGCGAAGTTTAAATCCAAACAAAAGATGTTCAAATTCCTAGCAGTTTATACACTATAGTGATGTTTAGTACAAAAAGCTTGTATTTTATATCACATTTCTACTATATTTGGTAGTTCATTATAAACTGATGTTTCCACATATTGGTGCACCCAAGTGTAGCTAGCCCTCTTTTCAAGATAAGCTGGAAAAGAACTGTATCTCTATCATAATAAAAAAAGCTGCTAACCGTAACAAAATATATAATGACATAGAATTTATCAAATAATCCTATCACTCGTGCAGCTGGGCATCCCATACTACTTTGAAAGACAAGCACTTTAAGTCTCATTTCCCTAAGAAATCCGTTCATCTCTGGCAATCATAGTCACAATCAGTTTAACTTTGATCCTGTTAGACAACCTAACAGCCATGTCTGGCACAGGGACAGAAGTCTCGGAGATAAGGAAATTCCCATATATTTTATGAAACTAGACAGCTGACAGAGCGGAGATCCAAACTAACATACTCTGTGAATGGTAAGAAAGGCAGCCAAAACTCCACGGCTTGCACATTCTGCTTTGCTGAAGCTGATGGGCAAGCCAATTATTCAGCACACATGTAACTTCAAACTGCTGCCTCATTACTGACTCACGCCAGCGGCGGTGTAGGGCACGCGACGGCCCAAGCTAAGGTTCCTTCACTGGGGTGAAGCCAGGGGACTGCCTCAGCTATGGACCCTCTCGTGAGGATCTGCCCATGCAGACACATCCAAAGACACCTAAGTATACACAAAAATAAGATTCATTTAGTTTCACTGCCCATGTAACACCACTTTAGCTTGGGTTGAAGTACTTAAAATGTTTAAACATCTACAAATTCTCATGGATATAAAGCTGTATTTGGTTATGAACTACTTTTTTTTTTTTTATTTTAATGTTAGAAACTGTTAAAAGCCTACCCTTTGTAGCCTGGTGAGTCTACAGTTCAACATGGTGCTTTAAAGCTCTACTTGTGATATAACCAAGACGTTTGTAATGTCTTAGAGAAACAGTAAAGTAACAGGTTTTCATTATCCCTACTTATTGTTTTTGTTGTTGTTTAGGTCTGAATGCTGTAAAGAAAGGAAAACTGATAAAATTCTGTAGGCTACTATGTCTGATTCAAAGCATTTCAGACAACAATTTTGCCTGTAAAAAAAGAGAATGTTTTTAGAAAGAAAAACTTTTTTTTCTGTTTTACTGGAGAACATAAATGAAATTTTATTAGAATTTGTCAACAGTACTTGTAATAAAAAATACATGGTGTTACCTGGATAAAAAGCAAAGAAAATATTCCTGGGGATTTGAAACATGACCAGAAGAAAATCTACAAATGTGAAAAGGTAATTTCTGAATGAAAAACAGAAGGCTTTAATGTAGGAAAAAAGATCTTGCACAGAAGCAAGCCTGACGCTGTCAAGCAGAGGGCATCAAATGCAGCCCTCGGGTAAAGGAAGCAAAACTGTATCGACATCTCTATTAAAGAAAATAGAAAGCAAGTTTAAAGGCAAGAATGCAAAGGGAGAAGAGACGTACCTAAATGCTTTCATGCATCAAAATATAACGTCTTTCAGAGTTCTGTAGATATTTCCGTATAGATAGAAGAGCACTAGGGCTCTAACCATACTTACCTCCTCAATTTTCAGCAACTCCTTTTTGGAAGTCTCCTTCTCTGAAGAGGAAGCATAAACCTGGATAGAGAGCAAGCTCAGGCTAACAGGGGTGGCCCCCAGCCGAATTACCTAGAAACATTACAGGAAGAGTTGTACATCATTAAGTTGAAAGAAAATGGCAACATGTTTGAATACATCCATGCAGACAATGTTTATGTCCCTGTATATGTTAATAAGTGATATAATAAGATGCTTAGAAGGTAGGAGAAAGGGGAGTCAGTGGTACACAATCTAATGCTCTCAGGCACTCAAATGATAACACCTAAATTATTCAGGTGGTATCTAGAAAAGCCTAAGGCTAAAGGACACAGTGGATATAAATGCTCATCTCATCAGTTTTCATCTCACAAAAAATCTTCTGTTTTCTTTCACTTGAAACATATTTTTGTCAATTTAGTACAGATATTAACAGTATTATATTCATATTTTAAACAACTTCGTGAATGTCTGTAACACCTCCATTTTTCCACAGTTAGTACCAAAAAGTTAATTTTATTTCTAGTTATCATCTGCATCTAGATTTAGGAAAAACAAACAAAAAAAGAGACTGTCATGGTTTACAGTTGAAAGTATCAGAACATAATCACTGCTTTCTAAGAATTTTAGGAATGTCTCCTACTTTTCTGTGAGAAACATGAATTACAGTGCATCATGACAGATACTTGACTGTTTTTGAGTACTTCAGATTTAATCCAGTCACAACACAATCACCATAAGGCAAATATAATTCTTCCCATACTCAGGACCTACACTAAATTGTTTTTCTTAACAGGAGAGACTGCTTTAACTTCAAAAACAGACGATAAAAATCTTCAATGTGTAGCGAATCACGAAAGCACAGAAAGCATTTTCCAACAAATGCACATCCTTATTAACAGCGAGATTTAACTCAAGCAACGGCAGTTCCGATGGGAAACCTTTCAACATCTCATATTCACGCTGCTGCTCAGACAAACGTGGCGAGTTACAACAGCCTGTGGTTTGTTGTATCAGGTCACAGTGTAAGTGGATCTACCAGCCTGAGGCCACCAAACTGGAGAAGTCTGGCTCTGCTCGTGGTATCTGTTCCCAGAAGTCCTGCTGCTCACCTTGCCCTAGCTCTGGTGGCCGGACGCTTCCACCGCGAGGCAATTCACCTCGCCAATTTGGCAAAAGATTAATCCTGAAAAAGAAGTGGAGAGCTTTGTGCGGGGTTAGTACGTTGAACCCAGCCGTGAAACAGCCTGACAAGCACCAGAGGAACTGTGTGACCAGGGAAGAGGGGATGAAAAAGGAGAAGGTAGCAAGCCCTCTTCCTTTTCAGAAATACTAAGGGTACATACGTTACGTTGACCTAGCTGCTTGTGAAACTGAAGACTTGGCCAAACCAATACATCCTTCACGCCATTATGATGACAACTGACCTAGCACCAGGACAATTACTCTGAAACTTTGTTTCTGCCCATTGCAGAACTGTTAGAAAATAGCTTTAAAATGATCCAGACTACTTGCTCATTGTGAACGGAACAGTATTCGCAGCTTAAATTTCTTCCACTGCTTTGCAGATGGAACATTTATTAAATGTAACCAAGAGACTCTTCAAACTCAAAACTCGACTATGTAGCTGTCAAACTTCCTGAAAATGTTCATTTACGTGTACAGAAACAGCACACAAGAACTAGGTCATAGGATGGCTTTTCAGAAAGACGTAAGGGATCTGATGGATCAAAAGGTATGGAAAAACTTGCTTAAAATGGAAGTTTTTCCTTATTTGTATTTATGGACTCATTATTACAGCACTATAATGAAACACCACAATAACCAGATCAGCTGTTTCACAGCCAAGGAAAGATGTGAGCAATCTTTAATAACGTTTGCTTAAACAAAGACTTTTCACATACTTTCATTAGCCAAGATAAAAACGTGAACGTCACTAACCATTAGTAACTGTAGAACATATTTCCTCATTCTTTCCTTTTTTCACTGCAAAACTGTTCTGCCACTGAAAAGGCAAAAATCTGAAATGCATTTTCATTCTGAAAAATATGCTTTCAGTAAAACATTACTCCCTGTGATTTTTGGAACATTTAAGAATGAAACACAGCAGCTAGAAAAGACATCAAGACATTCACTATTTCATTCACTTTCCTCAAAGCAGTTTCAAATTTATTTAAACTACAGCTACCAGTTACCTGACCAGCCTTATTCAGTGCAAATATTTCATGTGAGCCTAAAGTTCAAACAAGTCTAAAGCTACAGAGAGCTTTGCTGGAGCGACTACTAAATCAATGGCGTATACTACACTTAAAAGAGGTTACCAGCAGAGGAGGCTTTTGAAATAAGCCTTGAAAAACACAACTTGAGAGAGTCAGAGACAAGTGTCTAAGACTTAATTCCTGAATACGGCAAAAGTTTGTTACATGAATACACATGCATAGTTTTTACATTTTCTATTTAACATTTCTACAAGCGTCCCTTGCAGTAAAATACAAACCAAAAATCCCAAAAAACCCAACAGCAACATCAAAAAATAATACTTTAATTAAGGTATAATTAATTATTGATAACCTCTGTTTTGGAAAAATAAATCTAGTCTGCTGTGTTAAACAACAGGTGTTTTTTGCTGCTATTCAATACCACTTATATTGTTTGAAAATTATCTAAATGTCATCAGCAGAAACAGTAAACCAAATATTTTAAATATTTGAGATTTGTATATAAAGATGCACACAAACAGCAGAGCGTAAGGATTGTTAGTTCCACAAACAAGTATCAGTGATGACAGAACTACTCATACTGAAAACATATCAAAATACTGAAGTGCAGATGTTTTCCAAAGGTTTCACATTTACATTTTAAACAAAACAAAATTAACTACTAAAAGTGCAAGAAGAATCTCTCCTTAAATGCACTGTTCCAGTGATACTACAATGGTCTTCTATATCAGCTAAGTTTATGGGACAGATACAAGCGGTACTAAAGAATCGTATAGATGCACACCCTAAAAGATTTATTCGGTAGTATGAAAGATTAATCGTTCTACTTTCTGTTTCCAAAATTCACTCTAGGATCTCATTTCTTACTTTCATATTAACCACATATTACTAAACCAACTGGTTTAAGCTGTGCCTTCTTACAGCTGCCTGTCTTACAGCTATTCAGTTGATACCAAAAAAGTAGAGCTGACATTCTTCTCTCTAGGTAATGCTCTGCATTTACTCTAAGTAAAATAAAAAATACAAAGTTTACTCCTTTCTCTAGCTGAAGAACTCAACTTTATCTGCAGTCACCAGATCACTGACAAGCAAGTTCCATCTGAAAGTTGGAGGCAAAAAGACCATCACATTTCATCTTCCATTAAGACAGACAGTAAAGCAAGACAAAGTTCTTAATTCTTAACCAAAAAAAATGCCTCTGGGAAGAATAAATCCCATATGAGCCCTCAATACAAAAAAAAAGGAGGGGGGAGAGGGGGGGAAGAGCTAAAGATTAACTGGAACTTTTGTCTGTCTTTCCTCTTGTCTGTGGTTTCTCAGTTCACTTGTTACTGTTATTGTCAGCCTGTCTAACCTGGGGAAAGGAAGAACAAAAGGAAAAACATCCTTAATCATACTTCTGTGAAAGCTAATATTTGCCCTAATGTATGAAGCTGCTTCATTTGTCTCTTCTTTTTCCATTCTTCCCCCTATCTCTCAACCCCAACTGAAAAAAAAAACCCAAAGCCCAAACTCTTGAGCACAAATATCAAGGACAAGAAGCCATCCTCTCCTTTTGCTCTTAGAGGCAAAAAATTAGGTTGGCCTGAAGCACTAGAATCTGCCTAACCTCAATGGTTGAATAAAAATAGTAGTATTATGCATACTACCTCAATCTACAGGTTCACGTATAGTCCCTTTAATGACAGTTCAGCATCACATATGGAATTCCCAACGATTCTGACATAAAATCCTTACATAAGAATTCCAGCAATTGCCCCAAAACTAAAGTATAAAAAAAAAAAAAAAAAAAGTTGTGACAAGAGCAAAGCAAGCATAGGCTGCCTCAGCATATCAATAGATTGATATATTACCAATATATGACAACAGCTTTTAAAAAAACCTCCAGCTTCTCGAGTAGTCATGCCAACCATTTGATTGAAACATACAACTTGGTTTTAGCTTGAAGGGATCTGGGGCTCTTCTTATCAGAGACAGTTGCCTGACTTAAGCCCAGATTCATGCACGTTTCATTCCTTTCCGCAGATTTCACTGACAACCGACACGCAAGGAAGGGAGATTTCAGGACGAGGACTCACACAACCCTACGAATCCCAACTCTGCAACAACACTCACTCACAGCTCCGTGCTGCCCTATCTATGAAGTAATTTCAGATAACGAACGTGGGGGGTTTGTGCGTTTCTCTTTGCACCACATGGACAGGGCACGCGATTTGGAAATACTGGAGAGGTTAAGAGGTTATGCTGGTGCAACAAGCGTAAAACTAACAGCTCGTAAGAGCTATAGACGAAGTACGCTGGGTACAGCTGTCACCAGAGAACACACGTTTTAGAAGAGATTTATCTCGAACGTGGAAAAAAAAAACCAAAACCACAAAACAAACAAACGTTGGTGACAACGCCAGGGGCTTCGCTATACCGCGTCTCGTCAACCGCGTCACAAACGCTGCTTTAACAGGGGAAGCGGGGCCTCTCCGGGCCCGAACACCCGCCCCCGGCC